CAGATTTAATGTTTTTCTGAGTATCGATTTCAAGAGATTGGCGTATTAATTTTTCTTGTTGTCAAAGGAAGGTGTTCATCTTGTGCAAAAAGTTAGTGTGAGTTGGGTTAGACACCTTGTGAGAAGATCAAGGCATCATGGATATCCAAATCACATCCTCTGCAGCGTCCACTTCACGTCGTCAGTTCGTTGTCGATGACTGTGTTAATCGCCTGGCGACCCAGAGCCGCTCTTAGTAGGATGGTGTCAGTAAGGGTGGTAGTCGAGGCTTCTGGTAAGATGGATCTAACAGCAGTAGTGATTAGCTGGTTTGTCGAGAAGCTTTCACATTTCGAAGGCTTGAGGACACTTCACCAGTCGAAGGTCTACTAGACGGGTTTTTTCTGCACCTGGCAGGCCATCATCGAGGTTTGGCTGTATGAATTATGTTATCGCTCCGAACATGAGGACTGGGGCGAGTGCATCTATCCTCTGGACGACCTCTAACAGGGTAATTTCATTCTTGCTGAACAACGAAGTCGAGTTTTTGCTGCACCGATTTGAAACAGATGAGGAAAGTCTACGGAAGTGCTCTCGAACAGATCCGATAACCACGTCTCTGTTAACTAGGATAAATATATATTCCATGCCTAGTGTAACTGTGTCCTAATCTTCTGGCAAGTCCTTGATATAAGCCCCTATTGTACGAGCCGCTGCTTCACAGCCATGAGAGATCCTAACGACAAGTTGGTGCGGGTGAACCAGACTACCTGCTTCTATGTAGATGTGTTTGATAACCTCTTTGACAACGAGACAGCAGAAGGTGTTATTAACAACGAAGGGCCTGATTCCCTCAGCTCTCTATTTCAAGGGACATAATGATGCACTGAAGAACGGCTTTTTTATCAGGTAGTATCTCAGCAAGACAGCTGTTGACAAACTCTGTTAGCTCCGTAATGAGAATGTTCGTGGATGTACCAAGCACTTCAATCATCTCTTTGATGTGCCGTGGTCATTTTCCTATGTAACCATCGCGGAAACTGTTGGGAATGAAACAATGGCTTTATGAACACTTTACTTTTGCAAAATTCATGAGCCTATGATGGAGTTATTAACGGTAGAATTGTTGTTGGGGACATTTGCCGCCCAGGGTGGTTGTTTGTCTCTCAGTATCAGAGCTGTGGTAACATCTCTGGGAATGATTGTGTAATCATTGGTAATTATTCTGATTACCCCAGCTGTGTTGCCCTCTTCTACAGTTTTGCCGACCTATGTGTCAGCTTTCTCGTTGCAGTGGCACTTTGCCTGGGTCTGCCTCGGCGATTCATTCGCTTTTTTCGCAAATGGATCAAGTTACTGCTTTGGGAACGTTACCTATTATTGTCTCGATGACTGACCAAGTTAGGAATTTGTCGCCTCTGTGGGTAATCCTAAACAAGCGTTACCAAATAAAAGCATATTAGGGCAGACATTAACGATGCCTCGGACTTCTAAGTTGCTATAGCCTGATTTTAGATTTTGCCACCGAAGTGGCTAGTTTATTGTGCACCCCATATCCATCCTGTGGACGGTAGCGCGAGAGCATATGGATACACAAAAGGCCTAGGAACTAGGCCCCAAAGGGTTAACAGGAATACATATGGATTTATATCTACATATCTATAGTTCACTTATCTGTTACAAGCAAATTTAGGAAATTTGCTTAGTATATCTGGTATCTTATTTTCATTAATAAGATATCTTGGCATGTCACAGGTTATTATACTGTCTGTCTCTGTATTCCTCAATGAGTGGACAATTAAGCACATAGTGTTCAAGACAGTGACCATATGCCTAATCACATAATTTACATTTAGTTTGATCATCATCTGTGTGTCTCCCAAACTGCCAGAAGTACTTGTAACCAAGCCTAAGCCTGGCCACTACAACATCAGTCAGTCTGTTCACATTGCAATAGCCTGAGATCTGTGAATTTACGTAGAGAATATAAACAACGTTATTGCGGGATATGACACGGGGTTCTGCACGCACCATATTTGAGACCCACCAGTAAGTTCATTTAGTACAGTTAAACATATATACATTTACATAGATTATCATACATAGTAATATATGTGTAAATTAGCTATTTCAACTCCTACAAAAAGTCAAAGTGACTTATTTCCATTGGAGTTCTGACTTATTTCCATAGGTTAGCGCAACTAATTAGGTTGCCAGTAAGGAGTTGCTAGTAGGGACTGTGGGTATTGCTCGTTGCAGAGGTTACCTGACACACCTAATGTGTGTGCCAACAACCACATTACTAATGAGTCTGACATGCTTGACATAATGACTTCAACCTCCAACCTCACTGTTGTTTCCTTGGCTCTGTCACTCCAACCTCACTGTTGTTTCCTTGGCTCTGTCACTCCAACCTCACTGTTGTTTCCTTGGCTCTGTCACTCCAACCTCACTGTTGTTTCCTTGGCTCTGTCACCCCAACCTCACTGTTGTTTCCTTGGCTCTGTCACTCCAACCTCACTGTTGTTTCCTTGGCTCTGTCACCCCAACCTCACTGTTGTTTCCTTGGCTCTGTCACTACCTGCAAAATACCCTACCATTTCTCCTGACCCAGTTATTTATAACTGTAAATAGGTTGTGAGCTGCTTCTCGTGGACCAGTTAGCTGTTTCAATGTTGAGCTCCAGCTCCCAGTCAATCAGTTCATGTGTTTAGAAAGGTTGACCTCCAGTTTCTGGGACTCCCACACATCAACAACTCCCATACATCAACAACTCACTCCCACACACCAACAACTCCCACACACCAACAACTCACTCCCACATACCAACAACTCCCACACACCAACAACTCACTCCCACAACCTCATCATACGCACGTCCTTGATTAGTTAGGTTTATATGATTATTATGTACCCCATACCCATCCTGTGGGTGGTAGTCACCCCATACCCATCCTGTGGGTGGTAGTCACCCCATACCCATCCTGTGGGTGGTAGTCACCCCATACCCA